CCACCCCACCACGGTGAGGACCATCATGGGCCTCACCAGTGAGGACCATCATGGGCCTCACACCCCTTGCAGCTGGCATCATCGGGGCCGCTTGGGTCGCCCTCTCCCACTAATGCACCAATACATTACGGCGTCAGTTGCCACTGGAGGGGGCCGAGGCCCTCCCTACGGCCCCTTGGCCAACGAAGACGGCTGTAGGGAGGGGCGGCAACGTACCTCCACAACTCAGACCTCATTACCCTAAGGCGCCAACTGCCACCATCCAGCGTTTTCCTCCTCAGGGCCGCGAACGGGATTTATTCCCCTGCTGGCTGATTGTGCCTGTCAATGTCAGTTCACCTACGCACTATGGCGCATTGGCCACCCCGCACCTATCCAAAGTGCTGAATCGAGGTGTTGGCGGGCTGTCCGCGCCACTTCGGCGCCACTCATGCGGCCGCCTCGCCCACGCCCCAGCCACCAGGGTGACGGTTCGACCCGTGCCGCCACACCCTCACGTGTGCCGCTGTGATGTCACTCATGCGGTCGCTCCCTCCCCCCGCCCCCTACCAGGGCGATGGTCCGACCCATGCCGCCACAGCGTCACATGCGCCGCTGTGGCGTCACTCATGCGGTCGCCCCCGCCCCCCGCCCCCTCTGCGTGCCCCTCGAAGACGGGACTGGTAGAGGAAAAAGAACTATGCACATACACCGATTCTGGCCAGGTTCATCCTGAGCCCAGGATCGGTGCATACGCCCTCCTGCCTTGGCCAGGAAGGCATATGCACCGATCCTGGGTCAAGGATGGGCCTTGCCAGGATCGGTGCATGTGCATAGTTCTCTTCGCCCGAACTGGGCGACATCCATTCTTACCCACGCACCCTCTGCCCCTCGCCGTTTTTCTGCCCGCTCGCCCTCGTTTTCCCCCCCCCTCCTCGCCCTCGCTGCCCCCCCGGGCCGGGCGTCGCGGCGCCTGGGGGCAGCGCGCCGCTCCTGCCTCTACCCGCCCCCGTTCGCTGGCGCAGCCTCAGGTCAAAAACCGATTCCTGCCGGGGCCCTCCCGCGCCCCGATCAGGAACGCCCATGACGTCATGGGCGAGCGGCCCCGAGCGGTCATATGACCGCTCGGGGCCGCTCGCCCACCTGCGCGCCCTCCGCGGTGAGAGGGGCCACGCGGGAAGGACTGCCACGCCCTGGACGTCGCCGCGCCCGCGCCCGGGGGCCGGGATCGGCGCGGGCGCAGCCGCTGCCGAGGCCGCTCCCCGCGCCAGCGCTGCCAGTCGCCGACACTAAGGAGGGGAAAAAACACACAGACACAATGAATCTTCGATTCCCAGAAAATATGGGAAAATATGGGAAGTGGGGGGGAAGACAGAAACCCAGAAAATATGGGAAAATATGGGGAATCTTTTTATTTGTGTGTATTTATTTGTGTGTCCCAGTTCCCCTTCAACGCAGCCACCCCCCGAAAAAGGCCCGCTCCGCCGAGGCGGCCACCGGCGGGCCACGTCGGGCGAGCCCCGGCCGCGCCTCCACGGGCAGCCAGACCCAGACCTCCTGGCGTCGTGAAAAAATCACGACGGGACGTTTTTCGGTATTTTCGGTCTCCGGGGGCCCTTACCGGGCCTCGGGACCGTCAAAAAACGACTCGGGATGAAAAACCAGTCCCAGGGAAAGGGTCCAGACCTCTGGGGGTCGACGTTGTGAAAAATTCACAACGTCGGGGGTCTGGGGAGGGGCCAGCCCATCCTGCCGCTGCTGCCCACGCACGTTCCCCCCCCCGCTTCCGCCGGAAGCGCCTGCCCCGGCCACTCAGCCACGGCCAGACGCGCACCTCCAGCAGCTCACGCAGTCCGCGTTGGCAACCATCGCGGGACACACCACCCCGCACCAGGCGCCGCCGATGGCGCCCGCCCCTCCGCCTGGGCCCGCGCCCACACCGGGGGCCCAGGCACGTCCGCCAGCTCATTCGCGAGCTCTCGCACGAAGATCTCGCCAAACTCGTCTTCGACAGGGGCGATATCTCCATCGCCCTGCAGACAACTGCCTACGGCGCGCCACCAGACCTGCACCCGGACCTTGCCATGGGCCAAGAAAGCCCGGGCGGCCTGCAACGCGGGAATGACGCGCCGCTGCCGGGCCCTCTGCACACGGAAGGTCCGCGCGGCAGCCGCGGAGTGCCCCGGCGACTACGCCCCCTGCGCCATGCGTTCCAAGGCCCGCCGGAACCTCCAGCAGATCGCCCCCTCCTTGCCCTCGACGCCGAAACCTAGAAATTCGACGTCTCCCTCACCTGGCTCGTCAGCAACCCCTTGTTCATCATGAAGAGGATGGCCTTCTGGAGATGATGACCAAGATCGCGGCGAGCGCAGGCGACGAAAGACAAACACACCTCGAGGCAGCCGCCGCCACCGCCGAGACGCCCACCCCCCCGGACGCCCCCCCTGGAGGACCCACGGAACCATTGTTTCTAGAAGCTCCACGCCGGCTGAGCACCCCGCCCCATGAACTGGGCTCTGGA